GTAGTCGTACGCAGTTGTCAATGACGTAAGCACTATTTCAAACTCGACATTTGTGAATAAAAACAAAGTACAGCTGCCTCTTTAAGAAGTCAGGGATCGATTTCACACAGCATTTATAATATTAACAGCACCCGCTTCTAAAATTATATTAAATCAATATTTTTAATCTGATAAATGGCATGGCTTCAGGAGGGTCCAATTAATGCTTATTTAAAAAAAAAAAAACTTATGCACCCCACGCTATCCAAAAATTATTCGCCATTTTTTACGAAAAGACAAATCAACTTCACTGTTCTAATCTGATGTAGAATACATTCTGACTGTTAATAAGGAAAACATTTACCGTATTAGACGGCATATAAGACGCACGGTTGCATAAGACGCACCCCAATTTCAGCAGGGAAAATCAAGAAAAAATTAGTAATAAGTAAAATTATTAGTAAATGGTACCGCTTAGGCTATATTTATAAGGTATTATTTTGATTAAACAAGCCAAGATTGCAATTAAACGAAAAATAATAGGAAAATAGAACACTATCCTATAAAAACTTTATTATATCCAAAGGTAAGAAAACAAAATAAAAATCAAGCAATTATTACAATTGAGCAAAACAGTACAGTTACAATTAAAATTTTATTCATCTTCAAATTCATAAAATTCGTCGTCTTCGTTATCAAAATTCTGATAATTTTCAATACTACTATCATCGTTGTTAAATAATGCGTCAACTTCCGTTCCATTGAGAGCTTTGCTAATGCCACACTTTTTAAAAGATTTTACAACAATTTCTGGTCTAATATTATCCCAAGCTTGCTTCACCCATTCGCAGACTTGAGCAATGATGGGTCTTTTTATTCTTCCTGTAAGTGTAAAGTCGTGATCAGTCATTGCCTTCCACGTGTTCCATTGCTCCTTCCTGTTTAAGTCCTAGCTAATAGAATTTGCCAGGTAACTAATTTCGGCCGACTAAACGCGAATGTTAAACCTACACATGGCATATATGACGCAGGGGGATTTTACAAGATATTTTAGTAAAAAAATGTGCGCCTTATATGCCGTCAAATACGGTATTTTATTAGATTTCTATCAGAGTTAAACTCTTATTTCATATCTGAGAAACACGTTTTTCATGGATGACACCGGTATCAATTTATACACGGGAGTCTGTGACTAGATGAACCCCTGAATGACAGAATTTGAGCTTCTTTTTTTTTAAATCGTATTTGCCCCATGCAAGGCAGTAAAGCTACTAATGGGTTACTGTGTGTGAAAGAATTAGAATATTTATAAAGCAGCGAAAACAATAGAAGAGTAATCAGGAAGTCATTAAATAAACATTGAAAATGCAAGATCAAAATTGGCTGGAAAGGATGGAGACGTAAAAGAGTTCCACAAGCGAAAATAGACTGTTAACAACATACGGTTACATTTAGCCACTTCAACTGTAAACTGGTGAGACAGTGTTGCCAATCTAGTCTTCTTTCTCTTTATGTGCCGTATCCTTTCGGGACGTAGGCAATCATGGCTCTCCACTTCCCCTGATCCCTTGTAGCTCCCAATAAGTTTCGTCCCTCTGCCATCTCCCCCAGACAACGTTCTGTCACCCACTTGCTTAAGCTCGCCAGATATGTCATGCGTTACTTCTCCTGGTCTCTCTATCTCTCTATTCGACTTGTGAGTATCAGATTCTCCATTCCTTCCTTTCTCATTACGTGTCCCAGAAACTTCAGCTGCCTCTTCCTGATGTTGAGTATAAGCCTCGTTCTCGTCTGCATCCTCCAAGACCTCATCGTTGCTCACACGCTCGTCCATGATATCCTTAGCATCCTTCTGTAGAACCACATCTCCGTCGCCTCGAGTCTCTTCTTCATCTTTGAGAAGAACGTCCAACATTCGCTGCCGTAAAGGAGGACAGAAGTCACGTAACAGCTCAGTACTCTTTTCTTTGTCACCAAAGAAATCCTCCTGTGTCGCAATATTTTGCTCAGCTTTTGAAATACGTCCTTGGCCACCCACATACACCTCAGTGTCGCACTTAGCGTCCTCTGTCAAAACACTTCCCAGATACTGCGTTTAAATTCATAAAGTCTGTGTAGCATAATGAAGAGCTAATCTAAACAATTACCATGAAAGGCACAAAAGAGCAACATTACGGTAGTGGGAAAGTGACTGAGACCAAGATGCTAGGTCAAGACCAATAATATTGCTGATTTTTCTTTGGAGCTCCTAAAAGCTCACGATAAAATGTTAAGTATCTTTGTGTGTCCATTAGTTTTTTAGAGTGGAAGCCTATGGGGATCAGAGTGCTATCTACAATCCGATATAGTGCTGCTCCTGTTGCAGAGATAGAATTATCAGTTACGAGATGATATTGAATGGCTTTGGGGTTAAGGTGTGTTAATGTTGTAATTTCTGTTAGAATGTTCTTGATGTTCTGAAATGTTTCTCTTTGTGTCGAATTTATCTGTAGTGATTTTGCTGTTTGATTCTATCCGATGAGTTCTGTTAGGCGTAGTAATATTTCAGCTGCTTTTGGAATTAGTTTTCTTTAATTGTATATTATTTTAATGTAAATAGTATAAAGATATGTCACAGCTTATAACTAATTATAAATGCCGTATTTGGCTTGTAAATATGTATAGTCAAAAATTAGTTGTAGTTTTTTTTTTTTTTTTTTTTTTTCGGGGGTTACATCTCCCAATTTTAACTTAATTATCTAACTAATCTATTTTATCTTTATTCATTGTCATTATTTTATTTTATTTTTTTTATTTTTTCTTACTTGGTGCTTAAATGTTGGTAGGGGTATATTGCATATTAACTGTGATTTCGATATTTTAACATCTAAAATAAAGGCACAATATCTTAAAGTTCAAAAGGGGTCAATTTTTTTTTTGATAGTTTTTCCATCCATTTTTGTTCTTTATTGCTTAATAAATATCTTTTGACATCCATTTTATCTCTTTTTTTTTCTTTTCTGTCACAAACTTTGGGTCTATATGTGAATTATAATTATTTGTAACTAATTCTTATTAAACGACTTACTTAGCAACATTGCTCACCCCTCTTTCCACCTTTTTTTTCGTGCAACGATCAAAATCGTAAATTTTAAATTTATTTGTTAATCTCACACATTAATTTTACCACGTTAATCGACAGATTTAATCGAATTTTCTATTTACTCGTTCAACTTGTTTTAAACGACATTTATTTCTATATTTATTTTCGTTTTAACACGCTGATTAAGTCGTAATTTATTATTTGAATCGTAAAAACAATGTAAATTTCTAATTATTTTAAGGCTGCATCTTTTTTTTAGTTCTTATTTTATTTTCTTATTTCATTTTTTTATTTATTTATTTTTCTTTACTAACAGTAATTATCAGCTGGGAAGATGAAACTTTAAAAAAATAAAAAAGTAGAAAAAAAAACCGGAAAACCCATAATTACCTTCCGAGTATCCATATAAAAAAAAAGAAAAAGTAAAAAGAAAAACCCCTGTAAACAACTTAAATAGAGCTCACATCATTGCGATTGGCTGTTGGTCATCTTCCAATCAAATGCGTGACAGAGGGGTATGGTTTGCCTAATATAAGTCAGTGTCTGCAGGCCGTTAATTTAGATGGAGGGAGGCGCATCAGAGACTGATCAGCTCTGATGGGGTCGGCTTGGGGAGAGGAGTATGATGTTTGAAAGACCCAAAACTGCGCAATAAACCAAATCAGAACATCACTGACGACGCCCCCTAGCGCTAAAGAGCGTATATTCAAAGTAACAATTACAAGAAATCTACGTAGGGATTTAGGGTTTAGAGTCATTTGCTCTGGAAAGTCTTGAATTTATTGAATTTTCTGCTTAGTTGAGATTGAGCCTTTAGAGCTAATATTATATCCTAAGAAGTTTATGCTGTCTTTGAAGAACTCATATTTATCCAAAGATATTTGAAGGTTGCTTTCTGTAATAATTGATAGAACTGTCTTCAAATGTTCATAATGCTAGATCCGTGTTTCTGAAGACTAATAATATTGCTGATTCTTCTTTGTAGCAGTAAAACTGGACCATATATGGCAGTAATACTCTTATCATGGACGAATGGCAGACTTATAGATATATAAGATAGATTCTAGAGAAAAATTGTCTAACACGACACAGTGAACAAATTGTCTTAGCAGCGAACCTAGCAATGAATTCAATATAGTCTTTCTACTTCATGTCAACCGAGAGTGTTAACCAGAGAACGGGCAACAACTCATTCTCCTGGGAGATTAGCATCAGTCATGTTGATGGAAGGCAGAAAGGGTTTTCTCAGATTATTAATAAAAGAGCACTTTTGTTAAAAATCAACAAGCTATTTTTCCCCTAGGTATGACAGACTGTAAGTCAATTTTGAGATCAGCCGCCATTTTGATTTTATATTAATTCGGATACAGGGTAATAGTTATATCAATTTATAACAAAAAGTTTCAATGAGGTGATAAAAATATAGTAAAAAAATAATAGTGAAGATTCTTGAAACAACTTGGTTTAAAAATTGTTTAATATAATTATGGATTCAAGCAAGATTTTGTGAAAATTTAACGTAAATACACCCGAAGCAGGTTGGAGAGTAGACGGACCAAAACAGTGACAATATAATAATCAATATGAGAATACTGATTTGAATGGAAATAATTCTTCATTTGAAAAATTCTCGCAGAAAGAGAAAGAATAGAGGGAGAAACACCCAGTAAGCGTTGATTGATTTTAAGACTTTCTTGACTCGGCACATCTGGCGCGCATGCGCGCTCAGTATCGTTTCTTTATTGAATGTTTCCGGCAAAAGTGTGACGTTTGAACGACTTTGATGCTGGAAAGGTGAAAAGAAATAAAGTCACGACACGTGGCCATGTATACTTTTCATCTTGATAAGTATTTTTACGCACTTTCAACACTTAACTGCCAAGAGCGAGATTAGATTCGTTACAGGAGTAAATACAAAGAAAAGATCACGAAGGTTATCATGAAAGTCGTTGATGTGAACGACGACGATGATGACTCGAAAGACGTTCTTCTTCTCATTCTATGTGCTGTCTTCATTCAGGGCGTGGGTGAGCATGGCGCTCCACAGTTTCCTCTCCATTATAGCTCTTAGTAAAGTACGTCATTTTGTTATCTTCCGTAATCACTGTTCCGTTAGCCATTCACAAAAGCTCGTTAGGCAGGGGTTATGCTGCTTTACTTTGTCACTCTTGCCTTCAATATGTACTGCGAGTGTCAAATTTTTCAAACCCTCTTTCCTCACTACGTGACCTAGAAATTTAAACCGTGTATTTCTGATACTAATTATATATAATTTCCTTTTTTTTTTCAATTTTCTCTAAAACTACCTCATTGCCCACATGTTAAGTCCGTGGTATTCTCAACATGCTTCTGTAGAAATACATTTCTGTTGTCTCAAATCTCTTCTTCATCTCTGATCAGATTATCAAAAATTAACTGCTATAAAGAAGAGCGTAACAATTCAGTTCTGCTTTCTTATTTTTATTTCTTAATACTTTGTTTAGATTTTGGAAGGTACCTTTTGCTATCCCAATGCGCCTTCGGATTTGAAATAAATAACACTAAATTCGTGTTACATTTTAAATTATAATCTTACAATTTTTTTTTTTTTGTACTGCCATGTGTGTATTTTAGTTACAAGTGTTTTATGTTGCATGTGATAAAAAGAAGAAGTCACTTCATATTATAACAATTAATGTGCTGATGAGATGAGATGGAAGTCTTGACCTTCCAACGATCGATAGCAAAAGAGATTGAGTTCGTTTTCAGACAGGAAAAGTTTCTATTGCATCCTGGGAGGACTTTTTATTATTTTGGTATATTTAATTTATTTTAAACAATGTTTCAATTTTATTCGTTTTATTTTATCTTATTTATGATAGCCATTATTATTATTATTTTATATTCTTATTTTTATTTGTTAATAATAATAATGTCCATACATCGCATCCTCACCATATTGACATATGCCTATTTTAAGTAGAAATAGTCATTGGTTTTGCAGAAATCAACTCTTTTCCTGGGGCATGTAGTCGAGGTTTTTGATAATGGTTGTTTTTGTTTAGGTTCTTGTTTTGAGTGTTCTCCAGGTTGTTTAAGCTGTTCAGGAGATTGTATAAGATTTTTCTTACTGTGGTTTTTCGTAGTGTCATTGGATTTACTCTCTTATTAGAGACTGTGAGGTGTTTTCCTGAGGAATTGTTTTTGTTATAAAGTATTTTTCATATTTGGTAATTACTTTATAGGGACGATAGTAAAGAGCTTCAAGAGATTTCTTGACGATATGTTCTTAACCAGACATGGGTTGAAGTATACAAGATTTTGATATGAAGGATTGCTTAGCTGAGTGTAACCGTCCTTCAGAAAGGCGTGATAGTTTCAGCTTAGTCATCTCTTCAGAAAATTGTTTTTATATTTTCTTTGTTAACAGTGGATCTGTTATGTTCTGTTATTGGTTTTGAAAGTGTTAATTAGGCTCCAGTGACAACGATGGCAGGTGAAATATTGTCTTCATTAGGTACATTTCTCATTCCAAAAAGAACTATTGGTAGGACGTTTATCCAGTTTTGTGTTCTAGCCATTATAGGTATTTTTAGTATTCTATACTGGCGCTCTATTATTCCATTTGTTTGGTGGTGGTATGGGATTGTATGGAGTCTGTGGAATCCTATCATGGTGGGTAAGTCTTTGAATAATTTGTGTTCGAACTGGCTACCTCTGACTGTGAAAATATGAAGCAGTACTCCAAGGCATACTATCCAAGCGTTGTGAAACGCTATGGCTACTGTATTTACTGAGATGTATTGAAGAGAGTTAGCTATTATCCATCTTATTGTCCTATCGATGCAGGTAAGAATATATTTTGCTGGTGATGGATATATGTCATCATGTGCGGTTACTAGGGACATTGGTCCGATGATGTCGGTATGAATTGATTCGAATCGTCTAGATGGTAATGGATAGGGTATAGTTTGAGTCTTAGTATGACTAGAAATGTTTTGTTGAAAGTCTTGACAGCTTTTGACTATTTCACTTATATTTTTGTCCATCTTTGGCCAGGAATAACTTTACTTTATCAATTTTGCAGTTGCATTAGGATCAAGGTGTGAGTTGATGTAAAATGTATCGAAAATGTGTTTACGAAATAGATTCTGGAATGAATGGTCTTGGTGAGGACGTTGTTGCGTTACAGAAGAGGCGTGAATCTTGATAATTATCCTTGTATTTAGAAATCTCTTCATCTTTCTCTTGTTGTGCTATTATACAGGTCGGTCGCATGTGTCAATTCTGAGTGAAACATCTGATGTTGAAAGACAGTTAACAAATATGTTATCTTCTTTTTTCATGGATATCACGTCTGTGATATATATTAAGCAATGACTGAAAAATGTCTTTGTTGCCTGTCTGATTTAAGATGTGTAGTTTGTTTACGTGCTAATGATAAGGCTTTTTTAGCAGCAAATGATGTAACCTGTCGACCTGTTTGTGATCTAAAGTGTAGTACGGCTTCGTAAGCTGCTAATAGTTCACGATAAAATGTTAAGTATTTTTGTATATCCATTAGTTTTTTTAGAGCGGAGCATAATGAAGAGCTCATCTGAACAATTTTGTATGCTAGGTCAAGACCAATAATATTTGATTTTTCTTTGGAGCTCCTAAAAGCTCACGATAAAATGGGGATCTTTGTATATCCATTAGTTTTTTAGAGCGGAAGCCTATGGGGATCAGAGTGCCATCTACAATCCGATATAGTGCTGCTCCTGTTGCAGAGATAGAATTATCAGTTACGAGATGATATTGAATGGCTTTGAGGTTGAGGTGTGTTAATGTTGTAATTTCTGTTAGAATGTTCTTGATGTTCTGAAATGTTTCTCTTTGTTCCGAATGTATCTGTAGTGATTTTGCTGTTTGATTATATCCGATGAGTTCTGTTAGGCGTAGTAATATTTCAGCTGCTTTTGGAATTAGTTTCTTGTATAAATTAACAATTACTGCGTTGGGATTTAGGGTCGTTTGGTTCTGGAAAGTCTTGAATATATTGAATTTTCTGCTTAGTTGAGATTGAGCCTTTAGAGCTGATATTATATCCTAAGAAGTTTATGCTGTCTTTGAAGAACTCATATTTATCCAAAGGTATTTAAAGGTTGCTTACTGTCAGAATTGATAGAATTATTTGCAAACGTTCATAATGCTAGATCCGTGTTTCTGAAGAGACTGAAATGTCATCTATATAGACAAAGATATAGTCTATATTGATGGAGATATTATCCATGAAACGTTTCAAAGTAACACTACTTTTACATAGGCTGAAAGATATGACTAAATATTCAAACAGATCAAAGTGTGTAATGACGACAGGTTTTCGATGTCCTGTCTGTCATGGTAATCTGATGATACGCATGTAATAAGTCTATCTTAGAAAATATGTGTTTATTATGGAGTTTGGATCCTAGGGTTTTGAGAAAGGGCAGGGGATATTTACCAGGCTTAGTTAATAAGTTTAAGTGTCTATATAATCGCCACATAGTCTGTACTAACCTAGCGCTTGGGTACTGAGTGTAATGTTGATGCCTATGGCGATATTGATGGTTGGATAATATCAGTGTTCATAAGCGCAATAAACTCTTGTTTGGCGACTTTGTAATTTCTTCTGATAACAAGCGTGCTTTAGCTGAGTGTGGTTTACAATTATCAATGTCAATACTATGTTTAATTCTTCTTGTGGGTGTATTAGGACTTTCTCTCGGAGAATGAGCAGTGATTAAACTGGCTTTGGTAGCTGCTGTAATGTAGGGAAGGTTACTGAATCGAATAATCACACGAAGGTTGGTGATGAACGATAATGCTTAGGACAAGAACAAAGCATATAAGATTTGCCAGCGGCGCGTAGAAGAAGTAGTCAACTGCTAGAAGTGGGTCAAATGAATTCCACAATGAATCTCCAACTCCAGACCAACATACAGTATTTACTACTGTATTTATATGAATGGGGACATACTCATTATCGTCCGTAGGTATGCTACAACAGTAGCTGAGAACAGTTAACAATAATCTGTTGAGCCGTTGCTTTGACTAACACGCTTTGTATATCGTGTTCAGTTTCGTTATCGCGCAATTTTCCAGTACTGCAGTCTAGGATTAGAGCATAGTGTCTGCTCCTAGTGAGATTGAGAGTGTCTGCCACGACTACAATCTATGTTAAATGACGGTTCGCCGTGATAAGGAATATTACCGCCTGTGGCCGACGATAAACAGGAGTATGGTTACGATGCAGTCCTCGGGTGACATTTAAAAGAAGTCTAGTCACAGATGCTCCAGTGTCAATGAGGAAATCAACTTGAGACGCGCCTATAATAGTGGCAACCTTGAAAAGCTGCGAGTTAGTGGTTACCATAGCAACTCGCGCTAGTACTTTTCCGACAGGCGTTCGTTTTAGGGTTCTAGTGGAGAACGCTTAATGGGGGAAGAAGCTGGGATATATTTTACGTGAAGCTTTATCAGGTCATTTACGCCATGGCTTGCACGTCTTTGACTTGGAAGCAAAGTAAATATGGCATCTACAGAGTAGGGGTTATTTAGTTCTCATAGAAGGGTGTGAGTGAATAATATGGCCTATTGACCGAGAGTCAGCAACCCTCGCTCCCTGTAACATTACGTAACTTGTTTTTTGGATTAAGATCGTTTTTATAAATAGAATTATTTCATCTGCCATTGTATCTATCTCAGATAGTGAGAGAATTTGTGCGGGGGCCACAGTTAGCGCCATAGTTTTATATGCACAAATATATACATGTACACATATCCATACATATAAACTCCTATATATATGTAGATATTGTGTGGGTATATATGCATAGCTATGTGTATGTATGTGCATGTAGGTGTTTATATATATATGTATATGTGTACATGTATATATATATATATATGTGTGTGTGCGTGTGTGTATGTTTAAATATATATATATATATATATATATGTTAAGAAATGGACGAGTCCGTTTATTTATTAAAGACATTTTTTATTTATGTTTAACGTTTATTATTTTATGTTACAAATTTAAGAAAATATATTTATGAACGAATATTATATAAAAAATATATTTATATATATGTATATATATTCTATATATATTGTATCTATAAAACGTTAAACATAAATAAAAATGTCATATATATATATATATATATATATATATATAAAATACATATACATACGTGTATGTATGCATGTATGTATGTGTATGCATTGTATATATGTGTTTATTTGTGTGTTTGTATGGATGTGTATATTTGCATATTTTTTATATGTATATGTCACACTCACACACATATATATATATGTATCTTTTATAATAAAGATAAATTAGATATGATGAAAATTTTATATATATTATATATTAATTTTATATTATATATATATATGTATATATATATATATATATATATATATATATATATATATATATGAAGATGACTGTTATTATACTGACGTAAATTAGATGAAGATAGAAATTTTGATTTAATTTCAATGTATTTCACTAGCTGCCACTTGTACTTCCCTCCTATTCCTACACTTGGCTCTGAAACTTGCTTCTCTTTTTTTTTTTCCCCTCCTCTCTTCAATAATGTAAATCCCCCAAGTTTTTCTCGGTCAAGTAATTTAGACATTTACTTCCTGTCCTCTTGTGATGTAATATATTGTCTGGATGAATTTAAACTGTGTTGTAATTTCGGTTTGATGAGGCAGATATTAAAAATTTATCTGTCGAAATAAGTTTATTACTCATATATATATATATATATATATATATATATATATATATATACATACATACATACATATATATATATATATATATATATATATATATATATATATATATATATATATATACAGTACGATGGATAAATTGTCGTCTAAATTACTTAAAAATGAAAATAACACTGGCATCTCATTTTAACAGATATATTTACCAAAATTACACAGAAATATCTGGAAATACTAAACAGTAAATTTATTAAATGAAATCGACATTGGTTTGAACTATGGCCCCCAGACGACTTCGAAACTTCCTGAAACACTTCTCATTGTTTAAGGTGGTGAATGCTGCCATAATCCTTGTTTTCACTTCATCTTTGGTGTTACAAGGAGTTTTGTTGGTCTCTCTCTAAACTGTAACCCACACATATTAATCAATGGAGGTGGCCAGATGTAATGGGCGACGTGTGCGCAGAAATTGTCTGACAGCCATGACAGAGTTCTCCTGCTTGTGTTACATGGTGCAGAGTCCAGTTGCCAAACATAGGTTCTTCCAGCAGTCACCCTCTTGACCTATGGCAGCACTATCTCCCCAATGTACTTGATGTAGTTCTCCATGTTGAGTCTCACCAACACATTTGGGAGTACTTTTTATCAGAACGAATTTTCTGAGTTGCCGTACGTTCGTAACGTAATCGGCATTAGACTCATTCAATTCTTTCCGAATCCTCTGCAATGTCCTCATATCGAGACCTAAGCACTCTGAAATTGGAATGAATTGCGTCAGGGTGCTCTTTACCTCACAGACGTTGCCCAACTGGTCCTACTATACGGTGCAGTTGAAAAAATAAAAAAACATGCAAACCGCATCCACGAAAATAAAAATATATAATGGCGACAATTTACCCATCGCACCCTGTGTGTGTGTGCGTGCGTGTGTGTGTGTGTATATATATATATATATATATATATATATATATATATATATATATATAGGGTGTCCATAAAGTTCGTCTGCACTTTAAAAAATTTTATAACTTTGTGTGTATTTAGCACATGATACTCCGACTACATATTAACCACTATTGCTAATGATAGGCATGAGTTTTTGTAATTAGGTTGCACCTGTTAAGTTGTATAGTTATTAAAAGTGACATTCCACATAAAATAAACATGGCATTTTAAAAGGTTGCTCTCTAGGAGACAACTAATAAGTAACTGTTTCTCTCCCGCCAGAGAAATAAACACACTCTTAAGAGAGAACTTTTTTTTCATCGTCGCGGAAGAAGATATTCAAGTGAAGATAAAGAAAAACTAAGAAATAAACGTCAAAATCTGGCTGTTTTTGAAAGACGACCCACATTAAGATAAAACGAGTAGACAATCAAAATATTAGACACGTTAATTTAACTTTAAAATATGATGAGTGAGAAATATATTACAAAAGACACTTTTTACTTTTATATTGAGACAGTCAATACTTAAGCTGTTTAAGACGTGTTCTTCCCAGAATCCCAAGAGTTTGCTGTAATGTTCAAGAGTAGTTAAAATATTGGCGCAACACAGTCTTCATTTTATTATTATTATTATTATTATTCGGTAGTGCTAGAGCGGACATCCTTGAGTCTATCACGCCAACCATTACGGTCCTGTGTTAGTGTCGGAAGATCATTAGGGTAGCCTTTTGTGTCATAACATAGCTGATCAATGTAGGTGGCTGCTGGGCAACCAACTCATCTTGCCCCATGGCTAAATGTCCACAGCAGTAGATCACCTGCAAGTTCTTGTTTTGCTTGCCAAATGTCCTGCAAAGCGCATTCTGCGTTCACATAAAAAATTGTAGAAATATCAGCGATTGGCCTATAAAGTTGTGATTTAGTTGGATGTTGTCTCTAAGAGATGTTAGCCTCCCACCATCCGTTTGTAGGTTTCATCAAGTATACACTGAAGTGTTTTAATTAATGCCCAAGCAGTGGCACTCTACATTAAAACTGACTCTACAGTCTTCAACCAGACGACTGTAGCTTGTGACTCACCACATGTAATGCCCGGATACATTTTGCATGCAGTGTGCTTCGCAGTAGCTATGTACAGGGTTAACCTCAGTGGTGGCTTCTAGCTGGGTTTGAAGATCGACGATTTGACATCAATGCTCGCCACAACAGGTGATCAAAACTGAGCCTTAAATGTACGTGTAGGGAAAAAAAACTTGATGACAGGTAGATATATGAACCTCGCACCATAGACAGGCCCATTTCTACGGCGCCAACTTCCATTACCTTTAAAAACAAAACTCTTTTGGCACGTCAGAGTACCTTTAAATTTCTTTGCAATTATCATATTCACCCTCCCTCTCTCCTCTGTACCCTTCTCTCTCTACTTCTCACCCTCTCTCTATGCCTTCTCATTTATTTATTGCTACCTTTTGTTTCATTCGTATCACTTTGTTTTAAACTTTAATGACATCTCTTTCGCTATCTCTCTCACTCTATCTATCTATACCACTCTGTTTGCATCTATCTATCTATCTATCTATCTATCTATCTATCTATCTATCTATCTATCCTATTTTGTTTCTATCTATCTATCTATCTATCTATCTATCTCATTCTGTTTGTCATCTTCTCTTAATTAAATATAGCATGACATGTTTTGTCCGTTACAAAGATTTTATATTTAGGCTTTTAGATAGATAGATAGATAGATAGATAGATAGATAGATAGATAGATAGATAGATAGATTATTCTGTTCTTGTAATTGTTTGTAGAAGACCTGAAGTTAATTCCAATTTCGATTAAATGATTGACCTTTTAGTAGTAAATTAATGTTTGCTTTGTGCGATTTTGTTGTCTTCTACAGCAACGAGGATTTGATTAATTGTTGTCGGAAATATTGAACCAAGATCATCTCTCGTTCTTTTCCAATTTTCTAATGAAAGAAAAAATCCATTCACTATTTGATCAACATTGCCGTTTAATATTTAATGATGCTGTCGTCCCATTTACGAAACTAATTCATCCCTTTTATTGTTTTTGTGTCGTCTGCTCGCTTTGCTGATTCAATTTGAATATTCTGCTCTCAACGTGAGCATAATGTTTTATTTCCAACTTTTCTCTCTATATCTATCTCTTTCTGTTTCTCTCTCTTTTCCTTTCTATCTACCTCTCTCTAGTTCTCACTCTTTCTTTATCTCTCTTTTTGTCCCTCTTTCTTTTTTCTCTCTTTCTCTCTAACTGTATAGTTCTGTTTCTCTCTTTCTGTGTCTCTCTGTTTTTCTCTCAATTTCCGTTTCTCTCCATTTTTGTCTCTTTTTTTCTGTTTCTGTTTCTCTCTCTCTTTAAATCTTTCTCTCTATATTTCTGTTTCTCTCTCTCTCTCTCTCTCTCTCTCTGTTTGCCTCTCTCTCTCTCTCTCTCTCTTTTACTTCTCTCCCTCTGTCTCTCTATCTATCTATCTATCTATCTCTGAAAAAACAACTGCAAGGGAATAGAAAGGGATTATTACAAATTGCGTTCGATATGTTAGCTTAAAAATCTATCACTCATCGAAGCAAAGACTGAAGTTGTTTAATTTATGACCGTTTTTAGTTCGACAAAAAAAATATTGTTTTTCTTGGAAATATTGGAAGACTGAAATTTTGATTGAATCATAAATCGATCGTTGAATTCTCAAAATTAATTGGCTGGTAATCTTGTCTGTTTTTGAATGTATCAACCAACCAGTCCCATTTCAAAAATATTGGTTTTCAACTGGCACCCACTGATGCAAGTTTAATATGCACTGGTCTTTCGTAAAACATTTGAAAATCAGCATTTATTAGGATTAGATAGGTTTACCTATCGTTCTGGTTCACACTCTTCCCTCGTCTTTTAAATTGTAGTAGAGGTTTATCCATTGTTTCCTGTTTAGGATTGGATTTCCTTTTAAATTCTACTCTATAATTCTAACGTCTTCGCCTAAACTATGAAATTTGTACTACTAGAATGTTTGCAATACACTGATTCGAGTTGAAATCATTACAGTATTTAATATTCCGTTATTATTGTTTTGTTGTGGTTTACAAACTCTACGTTTCGTTCAATTTAGCAAAACAATCGATGATTTGCTTGGAAAAATACTTTGACAAGAACCCTATTTCGCAGTTTCTACGCACCCTAGAAAAACCAACTGTATTTTGTATCCCATTACCTGTTTGCCCTTCTCCCCAAACTTTTGATCGATCACTATATGGCTATTTTATAGGGTATAAGGACGAGAGGGTGGATGTGACAGAATTGCGTCTTAGTGGCATTGTCGCCTCGTTTTGGTTGAATTGATTAAAAAAATTAAAAAAGCTATTTGGTTAATAATTACTAAATGTTTCCTTATAAGGAATATGCAGATGTTCCCCAGGGTTCTATTCTTTGACCTACTTTGTTTCTAATTTTCATAAATGACATTCTTGATGTCATCATCTCCCTATTTGGTATCGATGCTGATGTCACAGAAATTTACTCCTACCTTACGTCTGATCGGTTCGATAAAGTTAAATTGGCATATGATTTTAAAAAAAATGATATACAATCTTTTGTTAAATGGGACAAGGAGTGGCTTGTTAATTTTAACGCCTCAAAAACGAAGCTGCTCTCTGTTAATCATCTGAGAGAATCCTTTTTACCTTCCATCTGCATGGCTGATGCTAACCTCCAGGAGAGTGACACATTGCAACTACTCAAACTAACGTTTTCAGATGAAATGAAATGGAAAGAATGTGTTGAATCAAATCCGAAGTCTGCAGCTAAGAAAGTTGGTTCACTATACCGTAATAGACAATTTTTATTGCCAGAATCTATCTTACATATTTATAAGTCTACTATTCGTATTTGAATATTGGGGCCATATACGGTCAGGCGCCCTGCTATATAGAGCTTATTGATAAAATCCAAATAAGAATCTGCAATGTTATTTGTCCTGGTCTGGCATCTCGCTTTCAGTCCGTTTCCCACCGCCATAACGTAGCCGCCCTGTGTCTTTTCTATAAATACTTTCATGTTAATTGTTCATATGATCTCTTCGTTTATGGTACCTAGACCTTATGAATTTAAGCACAAAGCTAGAATGTCGGTAAGTCCTCAACAGTTTACAGTCAAAATGGTTAGATGTAACCGTAACTTCTATGAGTAGAGTTTCTTCTCTCGCACTTCTCGATTGTGGAAATCTCTTCCGACTTCTTGTTTCCTAGTCAATTTTGATCTTCAAAAATTTAAATGCAAAATCAATCGTTATGTTCTGTCTTCTTAATTCTTATTCTTTTATTGTCCTCGCTCCTCAATAATAGTTGTTTTTTTTTCATATTCTCTAACAATCAGTAATCTCGTGGCTTTTATTGCTTTGCTTGGAGTGAAATGATTTAAATATATATATATATATATATATATATATATATATATATATATATATATATATATTATTATGCATAAAGATATATGTATAAAAGTGGATACTGAGGTAGAAACTGAGCGACGACAATCTGTTTGATGCTTGAACGCAATCTTTAGACCATGAAGCAGGAAACAGACTGTCGCCTCTTGGTGTTGCCCTCAGTATCCACTAATTTTATATCTACAGAAGTTCTATCACGGATATTGAACATTTTACACATAAATATAAAATACCTTAAAATATATTTTTATCATATATATATATATATATATATATATATATATATATATATATATATGTGTGTGTGTGTGTGTGTGTGTGTGTGTGTGTGTGTGTTAAAGAAAAACAAAAGCCGTTGATGGAACCAACGGACAACTTGCCAAATCTTATCCAAATACAGTCTCGATTCAAAACGACAATACTGAAAAAAGAAAGAGATAAAAAGGCCTAAAGGCAAATTTGTCTACTCGGTAAATAGACAAATTTGACAGGCGAATTATGTAAAATAGAAAAAGACAAAATTATTTGTACAGTATGAAAAATAGAAAAAATTGAACTATTTTCACAATATTAATAGTCAAAAGCATGGCCTCTCATCTTTAGAACTTGCTGCAATCTTTTTGGAAAGTTTTTGATGAGATTTGAGCAAGTCTTTTGGGGGATTTGCTTCCATTCTTATATGGTTACACATTCTAATTTTTGAAGGTTTTTGGTGACGGACGATATATTCTAACTTTCAATTCTTGCCATAGATTTTCAATAGGATTCAAGTCAGGACTCATTGAAGGTCATGGCAGAACTGTAGTCTTTTTCTGAAGCCACGCAGCCACTGATTTAGACGTATGTTTGGGATCATTATCCTTCTGAAAAGTAAAGATAAAGATTTTGCGCTGATGTAGATTTTCATACAGAATTTTTATATAGTCTGCAGATTTCATTATTTTCCTTATTGCAATTAATTGTCCAGTCACCCTTGAGCTAAAACAACTCCAAAACATCATCGAGCAGCCTCCATGTTTTCATGTTGTCATTTTGTTCTTTGGGAAGGAAGCCTCAACTTTCTGGCACCAAATCTTTCGTACATCTTTATGTCCAAAAAGCTCAATTTTTGTTTCATCACTCCATAGCACCTGTTCCCAAAAGCAATTTTCTTTGTCCAAGAACGTTTTGGCAAAATTAAACTGAGCAACAATATGACATGATTTGTGAAGAGGGGTTCGTCGTGGTTGATTTCCATACAAAACCATTTATATTTAAACAATGTTTTATATTTGCGAGACCCTTCCGCTGATAACCATGATACCCAAACTTTTGGCAATGTCTTTCAAAACAACTTTTGGGTTTATATTAACCTCATGGTCCAGCTTTTGTGCAGTTCTTGGTGAAACTTTTGGTTTTCTTTCACACTCAGATAAATTCTCTGTCGTACCAAACTCTTTACACTTCTTTATAACAGACTGTACCATAGATCTATGGATAGCTAACCGGTTTGAAATAGAGCTATATCCCGACTTGTCGAAGTTAATAATTCTCTATCTCAAGTCAACGCTAAGCTCCTTTTTCTTCTCCATCATATTGTTAACGTAAGAATAACAATAGTGACTCTCTATGCACCACGTGATATTCTTTGTTGGAATTATCACAAATATTCTACTGAATAAATAATTTGGAAGACTTCACAGATAATATGATTATGTAAATTATTTATACTTAGGCGAATCAATCAATTTAAAACCATATTTTCTACTGTACAAATAATTTTGACTTTTTCTATTTTGCATAATTTGCTTGTCATATTTATTGTATTTATCCTATTGTTCCGAAAATTGAGTTTTATATTCATTTTTTTGTCCTAATTAACATATAAAAAACTGGCATCATCCGGGCAATAGATTCTGAGAAATGGATAAAAATATTCAAAATTGATGGGTGTATGAATAATTTCGTCGTTGACTATATATATATATATATATATATATATATATATATATATATATATATATATATATATATATATATATATTTGAGAAACTGACGTTTATGAAATCTCGGGCTAATGTAATTTTGTTTAAATAAAAAAAAAAAATGGAAGGTTTCCATATTGTCTGTCCGGTTAATTAACACATGATCGATTCATGCCTTTCCGGAGTTTATTATGAAAAAGTGAACATCGATTTCCCTCAGGTTGAATTTGAACTCGCTTCGCCGAATTC